TGTGTGTGTGTGTGTGTGTGTGTGTGTGTGTGTGTGTGTGTGTGTGTGTGTGTGTGTGTGTGTGTGTGTGTGTGTGTAGTTGTCTGTCCCTGAAACTATGCTGTAATTGCTCGGCTCAACTCCAGGCCAACAGAACCACATGATCCTGAAACACTGAGGGGTGAGGTTCTGGTTCTGGTTCTGAGACCAGAGGTGGTCCTGAGACATGTGGGTCATGAGGACCTGGTTGGTTCAGTTTTGTGGACAGAGTCCGATCTGTTTAATGAGAACTGCAGCAAAGTGTCAGAAGCTTAAAGGGAACAGATTATTGTAAAAACCAGTTTGAAACAGTTCTTCAATAAGAAACAATAATCCAGTTACAGTGTGTGTACTGTGTGTACTGTGTGTACTGTGTGTACTGATAGTTGTTCAGGAGGGACCTGTTCTTTTTATCTTTATTATTATTGTTTAATTTAGAGGGAAAAAAGGGCAGATAAAAGATTTTTTGTTCTTTCTGCTTCACCAATTTGTTTCTTATGATTTTCTTACTGGAAATAGATTTTTTATTTTGTTTTTAATGAATAAATAGATCTAAAGAGAGATGAAGAATAAACATGTTTCTATTTTATTAACCTGCAGAAATCAGGTCACTGAACACTGAAGGAATGAATCATGTTTTTATAATCAAGTGTTTAAATCTGCCTGCTGGAGACAGAACCTGAAACAGTCTGTTCAAGTTAGGTTGGGTTGTGTAGCGTTTGGGTTGGGTTAAGTTGGGTTAGGTTAGGGTTAGGTTGGGTTAAGTTGGGTTTGTGTTAGGTTTGGTTAAGTAGTATTTGGGTTAAGTTGGGTTAGGTTGGGTTAAGTTGTGTTTGGGTTAAGTTGGGTTGGGTTAAGTTGTGTTTAGGTTAAGTTGGGTTAGGTTAGGGTTAGGTTGGGTTAAGTTGTGTTTGGGTTTTGTAGTGTTTGGATTAGGTTAGGGTTTAGGATGGGTTTGGGTTAAGTTGGGTTAGGGTGGGTTATGTTAGGTTGGGTTAGGTTGGGTTATGTAGTGTTTGGATTATGTAGTGTTTGGATTATGTAGTGTTTGGGTTAGGTTGGGTTATGTAGTGTTTGGATTATGTTGGGTTATGTAGTGTTTGGATTAGGTTGGGTTAGGTTGGGTTATGTAGTGTTTGGATTAGGTTGGGTTAGGTTGGGTTATGTAGTGTTTGGATTAGGTTGGGTTAGGTTGG